GGCCTGGCCTTCGACCCGACTACGCCGCCAACGGCATCTCTACGTCAACTACTCCGCAGCATCGCCTCGACGCTCCGTTCTGTCTCGATTCACAGTCAGCAAGGACAACCCTCGCGCCGCCGACCAGGACAGCGAGCTCATCGTAATGGAGATACCACAGCCCTACGGTAACCACAACGGAGGCCAGCTTGCCTTCGGCCCGGACGGCTATCTGTACGTTGGTCTGGGAGACGGCGGCAGCGGCGGCGACCCAAAGAGCAACGGCCAGAACCTGGGTACGCTGCTGGGCTCCATCCTTCGAATCGACGTGGGGGACGCCGTCCCTGATCTGCCTTACGTCATACCACGCGACAACCCATTCGCCGGAGTCGAAGGCGCGCGGGGTGAGATATGGGCGTACGGGCTGCGCAACCCCTGGCGCTTCTCCTTCGACATGGAGACGGGCACGCTCTGGACGGGTGACGTGGGACAAAACAAGTGGGAGGAGGTTGACCTGATAACCCAGGGGATGAACTACGGCTGGAACATCACGGAGGGAAGCTACTGCTTCTCCTCACGCACGGGCTGCGACTCCTCCGGGCTGGTGGCGCCCGTGGCGGAGTACGGTCGCTCCGACGGCTGCTCCATCACCGGCGGGTACGTCTATCGCGGCGAGGAGATACCGTCTCTCAAGGGCGTCTACGTGTACGGAGACTACTGCTCAGGCAGGATATGGGGCCTCCGCTACGACGGCCAGTTGGTAACGGAGCAGGCTCTGCTTGTAGAGTCTGAGCTCCTCATTACATCATTTGCACAGGATGCAGAAGGCAACCTGTACGTCCTCTCCCGCAATGAAGGCATCTACCGCCTGACTCCGGCGTAGCCGTGAGTCGTGTGGCAAGGCGAGGTCACAGGTGCAGCGTCACCTCGCCGGCCGCCAAGACCTGGACGGAGCCGTCGTCACGACGCATGAGCAGGCTCCCGTCGTGTCCACCCCTTCAGCGTATCCCTCGTACACCGCATCCCCTGAAGCTACCTGTATGCGGCGGCCTACCGTGTCAAGCAGTGACGCCCACCGCTCCCTGACTGAGTCGCCCTTCGTAATGCCAACGTAAAGCGACTCCATCTCCTCCAGAACGGCTGTAAGAAGGTCCAGGCGCGGGAATGGATGTCCCAGCTCACGCCTGAGACTGGTGGCAATATCCCTGATCTCCGGGTAATCGCCGGGATCGAAGTTGACGTTGACCCCCATACCAACAATGGCAAACCCCCTGGAACCCTCCGGCAGACGCGGACCCTTCTATGAGGATGCCCCCTATCTTCCTGCCGCCGACGCGAACGTCGTTGGGCCACTTGATAGAGACCTGCGAGGGCGTCGGTACAAGTCTGCCGAGCACGGTGGCAAGGGCCAACGAGGACATCATGCTCAGCTGTGAGGACGCCTCCAGGCCGGGGCGCAGGACCAGTGAGAAGAGCAGGTTCGCCCCTGGCGGCGAGACCCAGGTCCGCTGAAAGCGCCCGCGCCCTTGTGTCTGTTCTTCCGCAAGCGCCAGAGTGCCCTCCGGAGCGCCGGCCAGGGCCGCTCGCTGGCCTCGTCCATAGTTGAGGTTGTGGTTGGGAAGAAGTCCACGCGGCTGCCCAGTATGGACGTGCGCAGTGCCTTCAGAACAATCTCGCTGCTCAGTGGGTCGTCGTGAAAGCACTTGAAGCGCCCCCTGGTCAGTAAAGCGTCGACGTTAGGAGTCCAGGATACAAGCAGACCGGCATGGCGCTGATAGGCAGGCCTGTAAGCCGAGTCCTGTATCCCCAAGAATGGGGACGGCGATCATCTATCTGGGACTTCAATTACTCAAAGCCTCTAGCGGCCAACCCGGGGACGGGACGGGCACCCTCAGTCCCCCTATTAGGCCTTGCACCGAGTGAGGTTTACCATGCCTCGGTGTCGCCATCGGAGCGGTGAGCTCTTACCTCGCCATTTCAACCTTACCCCGATAAATCAGGGCGGTATATTTTCTGTGGCACTTTCTGTCGGGTTACCCCGCCTGGCCGTTAGCCAGCACCCTGCCCTGTGGAGCTCGGACTTTCCTCCCCGACTACGTCAGGGCGATCGCCCAGCCTGCCTATCAACTCAACTCCAGTTTAACACCGGCGGCTGCCAGGGTCAAAAAGCGATGGCCTACCTCTCCTGAACAACATCCGCGCCCAACGTGGTTATGCGCTCCACGTCTATGACCACAGCGAATCCCTGGCGCTCCGGGTCCCTGTCCAACTCCGGCTGCACAACCTCGCCATTACCTCGTCCCGTACGGACCCGTCGCGATGCACTGTTACATCGCCGTAGAGACCGCCAGGCCAGTCTTCTGGCCGGGTCCCTGTACATCACCACAACCTTGGGGTTCTCTTCGATGTGCTCCAGAATCGTGCGCATGCTGCGCTCCCAGTACGCCAGGCGGCTACCGTCGAGGGCCATTACGCTGCCCTTGAACCCTAGATTCGGGTCCCCGCCGGCGGAGGCTGTGCCCACAATGCAGGGAGTCCCATTTGCCAGGGCGTTGTCAATCGCTTCACGCATCTCATCCGTAAATTCGATCATTGCTCACTCCTTCAGTGTCAACATTACATGGTCAGAGTCGTCTCCCACCGATACCCTGGATACCATGGCGCGAACAATGTGGCCGATGGCATCCCTGTCCAGCGAGTCCCAATTGCTCAGCAGGCGGGACGCATCCCCGCCGGCGATAGCGTCAGCCAGGTCCGGGTGAGGCGCAGAATCCTTCTTCAGCGCCTCTCTCTGCGCATCTATCTCCTCAAGACCCAGCCTGAGGGTTTCAGGGATATGGCTCCGGAGGCGGCCCTCTCCAGTGTCCTCAGAAACTGCGTCTCAAGGCGCTTCACGCTCTTTACTGCCTCGGCATTGGGTTGGTATCAACCGGCTGAAGCCTTGTCTTTCCAGCTCTCCAAGGCATCCCGAACCTGCTCCAGCACATACTCCTCAAGGGCTTCGGAACGCCAGGTGTGGTAGCGGCACACGCCCTGGTTCGTTCGAGACTGGCACTGGTAGTACCGGTAGTGCCCTACGGCGCTGGAGCCGTCCTTGCGACGCCACCCCTGACGCCGGCTCACCCCCAACATCTTGTTGCCGCAGAAGGCGCAAAAGGCCAGCCGGACAACAGAAACGACTCCGGGGCGCGTGATACCCGCTTGGTCTTTATTCGCGTCATCTTCTGTTGAGCCATCTCAAAGTCCTCAGGGTTGATTATCGCCGTATGGCTGCGGGGCACCCTCGTGCCGAATCTGGAGTAGGTGCCCAGATAAACGCGGTTGCGGAGGACATCCCTGACCGTGACTATGCTCCAGCCGCCTCCGCCGCGAGTGGGTACTTCCCTCTCGTTCAGGTGACGAACTATGCGCCTCATACCAATGTCCTCACGGAGGTAGAGATCATAAATCAGGCGCACAGTAGCCGCCTCTTCAGGTATTACCTCCAGCTTGCCCTGAGACCCTATCCTGTAACCATTAGGGGGCTTGCCCAGCCCCTCCCCTCGGAATGCCTTGGCCATCATGGCCTCTTTTATGCGCTGCCCTCTGGCGCCCCCGTCACCGGGCCAGCGCTTGAGAGCTTGCTGATAGGGATCAGGCATATCCTCATCAAAGCAGACGACCCTGGAGCCAAGGACATCCAACTCCAGCAACCGGCGTACGGAGGACTCCAACGTGTCTCCGAGGTGCTGCACTCCTGCGGTAACAACCAGGAACTCCGAGCCGGACCTCTTCACATAGTCAAGCATATTCCCGTACTGGGGCCGCCCGTTCTCCACCCCCTCCCACTCCACAAAGGTCTCCACGGGTTGGTGTCCGTTGCGCTTGCAATGATTGGAGAAGGCCTCGAGTAAGTCGGCCTGCTCCTGAGCTCCATTTCGGACAGCGAAATAACCGATGGCCTTCATTGATTATCAGCTTACATACAGTATCCGGCTGCAGCTGGGGCACTTAACAGGCTCCGGCGATGTGCGGGCCTGCTGCACCACCCTGGTCGGCAGTGTTATGCGGCAACCCTGGCAACTACCTCTCTCCACTTTAACCACCGCAAGCCCCTGGCGCGTGGAGCGAAGGGTGTCGTACAGGCTCAGATGGACGGGGCTTACGAGAGCGGACATACCATCGCGCTTCTTCTGCAGCTGGGCCAGGTCTTTCTGTAGGTTCGACCTCTCGTCCAGCATGCGAGCCTCATCCTGCTGCCAGGAAGACTCCATCTCTTCAAGAGTGGTTTCCAGCGCTACCAGACTGCCCTCGGTCTCCTCTACTCCCTCCAGGCTCTGGAGCAGGGTCTCCTCGTGCCTCTTCTGCTGTGCTCGGAGGAGGTTCAGCTCGGTTTGTAAGTCCTCCAACTCTCGGGGATTGCGAACGGTCCCGCCGTAGAGCTTCGCTTCCACCTCGCCGGCCTTGGTTTGGGAGGCATCAACGGTCATCTCCAGGTCCCTGCGCTCCGCTGCTGCTTCCTGAGTGTGTCCCTGGCCTCCTCCACTGCCTGCCGGGTCTCTACAAGCCGCTGTGTGTCCGCCAGAGCCGCATCCAGGGATGCGATAGTCTGGTTATGTCTGCCTATGTCCTCGTCAACGCCCAGAAGGTCGTATAGCTGCTGAACAACTGTCATATTAGCTCTCGCGTGGCTGCTATTGTAGGGAGACGAATCTGGCATGTCAACAAAACGGCGCTGCCTGAAGGGTGGGCAGAAAAGATTGTGAATACTTGAACAAACTCATCCCCTGTGATAAACTCTAGTCTTGCCAATCGAGCCTGGGATTCACCAGTGAAGACGGATTGAGGTTGTAAGCAGTATCCATTCGGGAGGAAAAATGAAGAAGCAGTGGTTCTTGTATTTTGGAATAGCGATAATCGCCATTGTGGGCTTAGCCTGTGGGGGAGGCAGCGAGCCGGAACCCACCACAGCGCCTACTTCTACCCCATCGCCCACGGCCACGACGCCGGCGATGGTCGAGCCCACCCCCACATCCCCACCCATGGTGGAGACTCCCAGCGCCCCTACAGGGGACGGCGTATCCCTTTCGCTGGGTTCCGTCAACAGCGACGACCTGGTCTTCGGCACGGAATCCCTCACGGCCGGCGCCGGCTCCACCGTGACCGTAACCTACACCAACAACGCCATTACACAGCAGCACAACTGGGTCCTGGTGCAGAACGGCGCCAAGGACGACGTAGCCCTTGCCGGAGCGTCAGCGCCAACCACCGACTGGCTCCAGCCGGACGATCCCAACGTAATTGCGAGCATTCGGTTGCTCAACCCGGGGGAATCTGGGCAGGTCACGTTTACGACTCCCGCAGCAGGGACATACCAGTTCGTGTGCACCTTCCCGGGCCACAACGCCACCATGCACGGTACATTTGAGGTGACGCCCTAGTTGGTGAGGAGAAGCAGACAGGGAACAGTCGAAGCAACTATCGCAGGGGCCTGGTCGAATGCCAGGCCCCTGCCCTGTTTTGAAGGATGAAGCAATCCCGGGGGAACGCGGGCCAGTCCCCGTTCAGGACCCAGGCGGGCCGGATGACGTGGAGAGGTTGATCATACCGGCCATGTAACCTGCTCCGAACCCGTTGTCGATGTTGACTACGGCGATGCCCGGGCTGCATGAGTTCAGCATCGTCAGAAGGGCCGAGAGCCCATGAAAGTTCGCCCCGTAGCCTACGCTGGTGGGCACTGCAATAACCGGCGCGGCCGATACCAAGCCTCCTATAAGGCCTGGGAGAGCGCCTTCCATCCCGGCCACGGCCACTATGACCCTTGCTTGTCTTAGCATGGGCAGATTCTCCAGCAGCCTGTGTACCCCGGCTATGCCCACGTCCCACACCTCTCCACAGAGTTGCCCATCAGCTCCGCAGTGAGGGCCGCCTCCTCCGCCACCGGCAGGTCGGACGTTCCGGCGGCCACGGTCAGCACACCCGGCACGGGTACATCCTCCCCCCCCGACGACCGGTCCACCACAATGACATTCGCAACCTCGCTGTAACGGGCCTCCGGCAGCGCTTCCCTGACCTTCTCATACGCATCGCCCCCTGCCCTGGTTATCAGGAGTTTGGAGGAGGTCTCAGATATTTTCATGGCAATCCGGGACAGCTGCTCCGGGGTCTTCCCCGGGGCGTACACAACCTCAGGAAAGCCTGTGCGAATGGCGCGATGATGGTCGACTTTGGCAAAGCCCAAGTCCTCAAAGGGGAGCGTCCTCAGCTTCTCCAGGGCCTCCCCGACCTCCGTCTCCCCTCGCTGCACCTGCGAGAGGAGCTGCTCCAGGTACCTGTCGTCTATGTCACGCCTCCTTGTGCCTCGCGGCGGCGTTGGATGAAGCATCCAGGTCTGTCGGAGTGTCTATCCCAGACATTCATTGCACCTGCAAATGGCCCTCAGGTAGTCATAATTGTAGATCCCAGTCTCATGGGCGTCGCTCCACAGCAGGCGGACGGCGTAGTTCCCAACGGGCATCCAATCAATCACCCATACTCCATCGACGGCCTCTATTTTCGCTAATCTCCACGCCCCGATGACTGCGCTTGCACAATACGCATGGACAAGCGCCCCGCAGAAAGCCCCAAGGATAAACGCCCGTGTGGCCGTCGTCCCAGGCTATGCTGAGAGGCCCCATTCTCATCCGAGACCTCTATGTTTAGCGGAGCAGCTCTATTTGCTTTATCTTCGGAGGACATGGCCTGAGTACCTGTAAACACCTCAAGTGGAATGGTGTGACCCACCTCAATGTGAAATTGTACTCCATTTCGACGCGAGTCTGTACCTCATACCCGCAGTTCATTTCGTTGGAAGGGGTGTAGTGTGTCCGAACCGAAGTTCATTGTAGACCTCAACGCGGGCCGCCATGGTTAAATGGCTGAGGATCATGGGATACGACACGACGTTCGTACCAGGTATCGAGGACGGCAGGCTGGTTAGCCTGGCCCAAGAGGAAGGACGTATCCTCGTGGCAAGGGACAGGAACACAATGAGGCGCAGGTTGATAGCATCGGGGAAGCTGAGGGCCATCCTGCTGGAAAGCGAGAGCGTAGAAGAGCAGCTTCGTCAGGTCGTCGATGAACTGCAAGCTCGACACGCAGCGGCATTTCCCTCTGTGCATGGAGTGCAACTTAACCTTGGTAAGAGCTGCCAGAGAGGAAATCAGGGATCGGGCGCCTCCCTACGTCTTTCAGACCCGGGAGATAATAGTGGAGTGCCCCTCCTGCCGGAAACCCTTCTGGAGGGGCACTCAGTGGCGCAACATACGTCGAAGACTAGCCAGGTGGGATGCTTTGTAAGTCGTCGTTGTTACACATATAGCATGTAGACTGCTGTCTAGAGGCCGGGAATAATGCTGCGTATCTTCCCGGGGAATGCCGCCCCTCCTCCGCTGCCCCCTTCACCCTTCAAGCCGGTCGCAATCAAGGTGAGCTTCACGGAATCCTCCAGGTTCTCGTCCATGGACATTCCAAAGAATATGGAAGCGTTCTTCCTCACCGTCTTGCTATCAGGTCGCCTGCTGCGTTGACCCCACCCAGGGTCAGGCTATGGCCACCCTTGACCGAAAAGAGAACTCCCTGAGCGCCCTTGATGGACATGTTCAGCAGCGGGTTGGCCATAGCCTGCCGCGCTGCATCCACTACACCCATCTTGCCTCGGCCCTGGCCGATGGCCATGAGCGCCGCTCCCGGAAAGCCCATGACGGTCCTTACGTCCGCGAAGTCCACATTGATCTCGCCCGGGACGTTGATGAGCTCAGAGACGCTCAGGATGCCCTGAGTTACCACGTCGTCAGCAGTCCTGAAGGCCTCCACCATCTCGGCATCGTGGTCGACGTACTTGAGGAGCCTATCGTTGTGGATGACAATCAGGTTGTCCAGGTAGGGCCGAAGGCGGGCTACTCCGTTCATTGCCTGGCCGATTCTGCGACTCCCCTCAAAGCTGAAGGGTGTTGTAACAACACCCACCACCAGGGCGCCCATGTCCTTGGCTATGGAGGCTACATGAGGCGAAGCCCCCGTGCCGGTGCCGCCGCCCATGCCGGACGTAATGAACACCAACTCGGCGTTCTTCAGAGCGGCGCGGAGATCGGCCTCCGACTCCTCGGCAGCCTTCTCGCCCATCTTTGAGTCGCCGCCGGCGCCCCAGCCGTGAGTCGACCTGGCGCCAATTTGAACTATCTCAGCACCCTGTACGGAAGGCTCCAGGGATTTGATGTCCGTGTTGACCATCACAAACTTAACGCCCGGGACCTGGTCCCTTCATCATCCTGCGCACGCAATTGCATCCCCCTCCACCAATCCCCACCACCTTGATTCGCGCAGGGGCCCTTTCCCATTCCTGGTCATGGACCACGTTGTTTTCAGTTGTATGGGTTGCTAGCATTGATCTCTCTTTTCCTTTCTTCCACCTGGCGAGTGTTCCGACATCAAGCTACGCAGTAAAGGCAATAGCAACATGGAACCAACTTGGACCTGAGCAAGACACTCACCGGATAAACTCCTCATTCCGTCTATCCGAGAGACCCGGCACTCTGGACGTTTGCCCAGAAACCTGTTGAACTGAAAACTCTGTAGCGAATCCTTAATCTCGCCCGGCCATCGAAGGTTTAGTTATAGGGTTGAGTGAGTTCTTATGTTACGATTCTGTCTGTACTGCACCTCCTCTGTGTTTACCCTATATTCAGCTAGTCGTCAGCTATAGTCAATAGATTCAGGCGTATCATATCCAGAGTGCCATGTGAAGCGCTCTTTACAATTTCTACGCTTCTGGTTAAGATACATATACCTTATTAGATACGGGTGTTACGTTATGGTTACCGAGAAAACCCCTCTGTTCCGTCCATACTCTCCCCCTGCCAATATGCAGGCCTTTTTGCACCGCATTCGTCGGATGAATATGCCCCCGCGAGTCACCCGGGAGATACTCAAAGGCATTGGTATCTCGGAGAACATCATCCCCAGAGTGCTCTCAACCCTGCGATTCCTGGAACTGATCACGGACGGCGATGAACCCACGGACATACTCAGAGGTCTTGCCGGCAGCACCGAGGACGAGTATCGCCAGCTCCTGGAGCGGACCATCCGAAACGCCTATGCGGACGACTTTACAATCATTGACCCCGCTAAAGATCCGCAGGAAGTCATTATGAACGCCTTCCAGAAATACACTCCCCGCTCCCAGCACGCAAGGCAGGTTATGCTCTTCCTTGGGCTTTGCAGAGAGGCCGGACTTGCGACTGTGGATGTGCCCCGAAGGCGGGAGATGAGAAGCAGGACCCAGAGTCGGAAAACCGTACGCGGGAGCGCGGCGCAGCGTCCGACACAGCAGCCGGCGGACGTCGGCGCTCCCAGCAGCAACGGAGCAACCGCCAGGAGGGAGGCGTTGCCGGAACCCACCCAGTTCCTGGGGCTTTCTCTTGAGGACGCAGCGTTCATGCGTGAAGACGACTTCTGGGAAGTGTGGAACGCTCTCGGCACGGTGTTTCTCAGGCGCGCGCAGCGGATATACGCAACCCCTCAGCAGGAATACTCGGATTCCCAGGAACAGACGGAGGATGAAGGATTCTGACAAATGACCTACACTTATAGACTAGACGCGTCCAATGGTGAATCAATCCGGGACTTGCCACAGTGAAAGGAGCTCCCATATGAGCCGCCGCGCAGCCTTCGTGTACCACGACATCCTGTCTCGCCACGTCCTCCGCGAAGACCACGTGATGGTCCCTACCCGCCTTCGCTACACCTACGAGCTTCTGGAGTCGTACGGCGCCTTCCAGCGTCCCAACGCCGTCCTGGTGGAGCCGCGCCAGGCCGCGGAAGAGGAGATACTGACCTCTCACACCCGGGAGTACGTGAGCGCGGTCCAGAGCCTGAGCCGCGGGGGAGGCCGGGCACAATCAGGGCGCCTACGGTTTCAGCGACCACGGCGACAATCCCGTCTACTCCGGCATGTACGAGGCTTCCTGCTGGTCCACGGGCGGCTCCCTGCTGGCAGCAGAAATGGTGCACAAGGGAGAGGTGGACGTGGCCTTCAACTGCGCCGGCGGGCTTCACCACGCCATGCCAGGCCGAGCCTCCGGCTTCTGCATCTTCAATGACCCGGTGGTAGCAATAAAGTACCTGCTGGACCAGGGACAGCGGGTGGTTTACGTGGACATCGACGCGCACCACGGGGACGGAGTGCAGCACGCCTTCTACGACACGGACCAAGTTATGACCATATCGCTGCACCAGTCCGGCACGTACCTGTTCCCCGGCACCGGGTTTGTCAACGAGATGGGAGCGGGAAGCGGCCTCGGCTACTCCGTCAACGTACCGCTCTACCCCTACACCAACGACGAGCTTATCTGTGGGTCCTCAATCAGGCAGTAGCGCCCCTTATCCGCGCCTTCAAACCGGACGTCCTTGCCACTCAGCTGGGCATGGACCCCTACTTCCGGGACCCCATCACCCAGCTTGGCCTCACGGTCCAGGGACACTCTCGACTGGTCGAGGAGCTGGGCAAGCTGTGTCCCAAATGGCTAGCCTTTGGCGGAGGCGGTTACGACCTTGGGGCAGTGGCTCGCGGCTGGGCGCTGGACTACGGCGTGATGCTGGAGGAGCAGTGGCCCAACGAGATCCCTCAGGACTATCAGGAGCGGTACGGTCTGAAGCTACTCCGCGACCCGGAGGGGCCGTCATTGGACTCCGGTGTCCTGGCCAAGGCCCGCGAAGTCGCCGAGGAGAGGTGTGAGAGAGGTGGAGAGCCGCATATTCCCGGTCCACGGCTTGTAGGGGGCCTCCGGCTCTCCCTGTTACCGGAAGTCCGCTTATCCGGTTGCCGCCCACTCCCCTACCCTGCTTGGGAATCGGGGCTGTAGTCTGGGGTCTTCCCCCAATTTCCTTTTCCCATGCTTCAACTTGGGCCCTATTGTGGACGAGGGGAGCGCGGAACGGAATAGGGAGCGTGTCGGGGATGATACCCAGTATTGGGAGTGTAGGTGCGACGCAGGACCAGACCAATGAGCTGCTTCCAGAACTCCGCCAGTGTCGGCAGAATCATATTCGGAGTCATTAGCCATCTGAACAATAATTGGAATGACTACCCTCTCCCTCATTTCACACACATCATTACACTACCGTGCTGAAGGTTGTTAGCGACTAATAGTTATATACAAGGCAGAGCAAGGACCCAAAGCCAACAAGAAAAGATAAGCCAAAAAAAACAAGAACAACAACCCAAAGACAAAAAAATCAAAAAGACATAACACTAACAGGGAAATAAAAAAAACATCAAAAAAATAACAAAATAAAAAAAAAAAAAGTAAAAAAAAAACCCCCAAAAAAAAAAAGAAAAAAATATAAACACCCAAACAAAAGACATAAAACATAAAAAAAAAAAAACAAAAACAACAAAAGGCCCCTCTAAGTACAAACAGGCCACCTGGGCCTGCAAAGGCTGCAAGAATTAAAAGTAGGAAGAAGCACCCGCAACCCCGCGGCTCCTTCCCAGGAGACTTGAGACCGCACGAAGGACATATCTCAGTCTGCTCATTAACTACCTGAGCACACTCGCGACAACGTACTAACGGCCATGATTGCACTTCCTCAGGTAACGTCTCCCGGAACCCCCACGTAACTAAGGGCTATCTCCAAGGTCAGCCAGGCGTCCCATGTGGAGATTGGGAACAGGCCGTGTGTGGCGTACCACCTCCACCGGCAGCTCTCAGCCCCACTTCGAGGACTCATCAGCGGCCAAGGTGAGCGAGATCGCCGTAGAGTATGGGGTGTCCGTAGCCAATTGGAACCCACCCCTAACCTTCAGCAGGTATTCGATAGTTTGGAATAGTCATTGAGCCGGGCGAAGAAGAATCTAAAATCCTCAACAAGAACTTGGTCCGGTATGAAGGAAGGAATGGAGGCAAGGACTTAGGCACCTTCGCTGTCGTCACGAGGCCTGCCCCGCTCCCGATGCGGAGTCGGGGACGGAATGAGATGCGGGGGCGTGGTAGCAATCGAAAGACCCTGTACCTCAGAAAGAAGCGAAAACCGCGGCGCTTTCTCACCGCCGGTTCCTATGCTCCGCGGGACTGTGGTGGAGGCGCCGGCCCCGGGTAAGCGCGGATAATCCCAAGTATTAGAAGGGGGACAGGGTTTGTCTCCAACTGGAAACGGGACCTTTACCGTTAGGACGGGGAAGAAGCAACGAAAAAGAAGACACACAAAATGAAGATAAAACCAGCCTAAATATGCCATCCATAAAAAAGGATGATAAATAACAGAGAAAGTCCGTAGAAACGAATCAAAACAGACAAGCACTACTTACCCGCAAGACGCAACGATAATGCCAGGCCAAAGGTTTTTGTGTCCCCTCGATCGTTTCCTTTTACCCGCGCATCCCCTCCCGCTCAATAATAGAGACTAACAACAGACTTCTTACAGTTGAAAAACGATACCCTACAAAGAGATATGATAGTCAACACGTAGAATGTTTTCCAACCAGTTCCAGCATATTAAAGGAACATAGGCCAAGCTATAACAAAATAAAGGAAGCGAATCCAATACAGACGTAAACAAAACGAGTATACACCCAGATGTCTTTAACCCAAGAAACGAGAATCACAACCAATAGGACTAGATGCAAAAGATGTATGAGACACCAGAAAGAGTCAGATAGCTAAAAAGGAAATAAAGCCCCCAAAGTAGAAGACTAAAACAAGTGACCTTGATGGAATATAAGTAAGACCTACAGACGCACACTACTAAAATCAAGAGTCAAATAGCAGAGGGTAGTGATAGAAGCTAAAGGAAACAGAACCGTCCAACCCATCGCCGATATAGCACATTCTTCAAAGAGTAAACCATGCACATTTCGTCAACTGTACCTAAAGGCAGACATCTGAGCCCAAATAAAAGAAGCACCAGTAACAATAAGCTTCGCACTAATGTAAAGGTGGAGAGTAATGATAGCAATCAACAACAGCCAGATGCAGTAGAAAAACAGCATACCTTACCACAGACACTAACTACAGACACAGATTAAATCAACATGAATCACTGTTCCCAGGCGGTTGCGAAGCCCCGAGTCTAAGAAGGAATAGGTATTAGAACATGTAAAGTAAGATGAAGCAGAGCTATAGAACCGCACTAACAACGCAAGGACAACTTCCCCCAAATAAGACACCACCCCCCATATGAAATAAAAAGCTATTACAAGTAAGATACGAATTACATAAATCTTCAGAAGTTTATACCTATCCATAAGTATATTGAAAGGTAACGACGTTACCCTGATCCCCCCCCAGAATGCAGAAACAAAAGACTAGGGACCTAGGGTCCTTATGCTATAAACCTCTACTCACGTAAGGTACGACCTACGCAGACCATGACGCTACTCCCAAAGAGAGAGAGATATACAAAACGGTCAAGATGAACTTAAAAAGGCAGACTTTAGAAACGCCACACCGTCCACTAAATGTCAAGAAAGTTCCATAACAGCTTAGAAATACGCAGAACACCAATAACTTAAACTTACGCACAACTACTAACCGCAAACACCACAAAGCCTCCCCCAAGATCACATCCATCAAAGCAATGACTATAGAAGCCAACCGACAGAAAAACAAACAAAAAAGTACATAAACCGAGATATTAGACAAAAGAAAGATAATACGTCATAAGGGCCCAACAGGAAAATATGAGACTTAGTACAAAAACGAGCTCCCCTCATACGAGAAAGAGCCTGCAAGATGCTAAACTAATATCACTAAGACGAGATAAGACTCAGCCTAGAATAAAAAGAGATTCACTATTAGCATTTAAAGTCTAAACCCGATCCCGTCATATCAAGGTAGAACAGATGTAAAAAATATGCTGAATGACTAAATAGAAAAATCGCAATAGCCGAGTCTAACTCAAAAGAACACAGCCCACTAGTACAATCACAGGCAAACTTGAGAAAAGAACCCGTAAAAGAACGACATACGCGACGAAACGCGTAGCAAAGCTTCTAGACGGGCAACGTCAAATTGAAAAGTACAGATAATTGAAAGAACAGAAGCCATACGTCACGCAATAACAAAACAAATAAACCTCCACAAGACATGAGCACATCATAAACAAGCATAGAGCATCACCCAGTAGCATTTACTGCAGACAACAGCACCCTAGACAAATAAAGCAAAAGAATAACGCTCCCCCCCCAGCCTACAACCTAATAATTTTCATAAACAAAGATAAACGCGACATGCTCACACTTGTAACGAAAACAATAGATCCGAAGCGCTCCGTAGACCAGTAATCGTTATGGAAGATCACCTATAGTCAGCCAAACCTTTCAGCCCAACAAATCAAAGTAGAATAAGAAAGACAGAGAGATGGTCAACCCGCTAAAAAGCACTCCATATAGCGATGGGTACGTTTAAGCAACAGATGTATGCTTCAGCCCGCTCTAATGTATAAAAGGCAATCATAGATAGATCTAGAGAAAGAGACAACAGTTTAGTACAAAGCACGGACAAGGATACCCGGTGAAAAGCAAAAAAACCAGATAGTAAGCAAATTCTAGCTCAAGAACCGACAAGAAAACGACGAAGCCAACCACCAGCTAAAAAAGCAAATTCGCCACCACCAGCATCTCAAGATACAAAGAAAAGAGCAAAGATAAGATAGAAGTTAAGAGAAGAACGTAGTCACCAATTATACAGAAAAACCTATAATATAATAAAGAATCAGCACAGTCATACGACAGGACAAAGAAAATAAAGATAAAAGAGAACTAAAAACATAAAAGTGAACAAAGAGAGGGAGGGTTAACAGAACAAGAGAAAAAAACGGAAAAGAGAAACAAGAGATAGTAAGAGAGTAAGAAAACTAAGATAAAAAAAAAAGAGACCAACAACGAGAAGAAAGAAGAGGAAAAAAAGAAAGAAAAAGAGAAGAAAAGAGAAGAAGAAAGAAAAGAAGAAAGGAGAGCTATGGTGGAGTCCTGATCCTGCTCCGAGGACTCCTCCATACTCATCATCGCGTCGGGGTCTCCCATAAACTGGGCCATCTCACTGAATAGCGACATGAACGCTTCAGCGTCACTCTGCTGATTCGCTGCGGTGGGGCCTTGCAGATACCGGAACAGCTCGCTGTCCGCTGAAAGCACCAAGGTAGTATCCTGCTGCAGGGAGTTGGTGTAAGCCTCAAGGCTGCGCCTGAAGGTGAAGAACTCCAGGGCCTCGGCCAAAGCCTCAGAATCGATGGGGGTCAGCGCTTCATCGCCGGATGCCGCCAGCGTCCTCAGGGCATTAGCGGCCTCAAACCCGATGACCAATTCCATGGAATCAAGGGTCTCTGGGCTCAAAGCTCGTATCGCCGTGATTGCCTCCTCAAGGACATCGGCGCTGAGAACATTTCCTGCCCTAAGGTTTGCCATAGTCTCGTCGGTTATGAGTTCTACGTCCAGGGCCTCAATGGCGTCCAGCACCTCTAGGGATAGAGACTCCAGGGCGTACAGCGCATCCAGGGCCTCAGGCTTCAAGGCGTTTGTGCCAAATACCCTGGCGAATATCTGGACCGCCTGAGCCTCACCTTCACCGGAGAGGATGTTGGCGTCCCTGTCAGCATCGCCCTGATGATCCTCACTCGCCTGGCAACGTCAGCCGTGATAGTGAGGTACTCTTCCTCTCCCTCAGCACGCAGCCGCTGCGCCTGAACCGAGCGCTCGGAGCGCATCCGATCGAATACGCTTGCCTCTGCCGCGGTGGGGAAGTCGGCCCGCTTAATCCGCACATCCACGATATCCACCCCGAACCCCTCTTCGATATCACTCTTTATACGTTGCAAAACAATCTGCATCATCGCTTCACGACTTGGAGCGCTGCCTTCAGTTTGCCTGGGGAACACGATGATAGTGCCATCTCTGTGTTATGGGATCGCCACCTATGATGTCCCTCCGGTCTCTCACGCCCACCTCATCGCGGATGGCTGAGATAGCCAAGCTTCCGATACGCTGCCCGGCGGTGAACTCATCCCGCAGGTTCTCCAGAAAGACCTTGGGATCCCTGATCCTGTAGCGGACGTAGGCGTCTATCTCCAGGAACTGGCTGTCCCTGTCCGGCATACTCTGAACCGGCACGTCGATACGGAGCAGCCTCTTATCGAACCGTACAACGCTCTCAACAGGCGACTTGAACTTCAGGCCGGGACTGGCAATTCCCCTCTGCACCTCTCCAAAGCGGGTTATGACCACGTACTCGGTCTCGTCCACCGTATAAGCTACCCCAAAGCCGGCCACCTGGGCGAGCAGAGCCACGAACACAAGGACGGCAAGAACCGTTCCAATGATTTTCATCATGGCGTGGTCACCTCATTGTCGGTCAATGGGAGGAACTGCAACAGACTGCCTTGGCTCTCCTCAGACAAGATGAACTTCTTTATGCCGGGCAGAATGCCCTCCATTGCCTCAAGGTAGAGACGCTGGCGGGTAACGTCCGGAGCGCTGAGGTACTCTCTCAAGACTGACCGGAAGCGGTTTACTTCACCGGTGGCCCTGGCTATGCGCTCAGCTTTGAAAGCCTCGGCAGCCTGCACCACCTGGGCGGCGTCACCCTCCGCCCTGGGGATCCGGTCCTGCTCAAAGGCCTTGGCATCGTTGATGCGGCTCTCTTTGTCTACTCGGGCGTTGACCACGTCATCGAAAGCGGCCCGCACCTGGTCCGGGGGGCGCACGGTCTGGAGCGCCACGGTGTTCACCTGGATTCCGGTATCGTATTGGTCCAGTATCTGCTGGAGCAACTCCCTGGTCCGCTCTTCCACTACCTCTCTGTTGAGCACCAGGGTGTCGTCAATGCTACGCTGTCCAACCACCTGGCGCAGGGCCGCCTCTGTGGCGTCCTTCAGGGTACGTCCCTCAGGATTACCTCTTTCAATACTGCGTACGACCTCTCCCGGGTCATCAACGCGGAACAGGTATCTCTCAAGATTCGCTATCATCGTACTGGACGGCACCATTGACTGTTGACGATGTTCAAATGTCCCCGTGATCATTAGCGCCTTACCGTAGTGTCGATTGGTTACGCTTTTGTTTGTGTTTTTTTTTTTTTTTGTTTTTTTTTTTTTTTGTTGGTATCCGTTGTGAAGAAGCCCAACTCCATATTCCGGGTCACTTCAACGTCAACGATGGTGCGCTTGCCTATGGGAGAGGGGAAATACCAGTGAAGGCCCGAGTCCGCGGTGTCCTGAAAGTCTCCAAAAAGCTGAAGGGCCGCCTGCTCTCTGGGGCCCACCTGATAGACGCCGGTGGCCAACCAGCCCAAGACGAGCAAGACTAGTGCGGCGAACACGACAATCCTCATGCCGCCTCCACCCAGCTTCTGAGTCACGCCGCCCTTACACGGTGCATGTCCTGAGAGGATTTCCTCCTCTGAGCGAAATCAGAAGGCCGCGATGTCTCCCCCCTGGCTCAAACATACAGTGCTAAACTCGTCTTTCTTCTAGTACCGCAGGTATTCCTAGCTTCACGTAACCTGTACACCTTAACACAGATTCGGGAAATAGCAATACCCTACTCCCCGACTCCTGCTCATGTGCCGCTCTGAGCAAGGCCGATGGAACGGAATTTTGCTCTCCTTCAGACCGGTTTGACGATCCTTAAGCAATCGTAAATCAAAACCGGAGTAAGTTCCTATTCCGTTATGCTCGAGGGAATTGAACACCCTCAGGTAGTCCCTCAGATATCGGGTTATCAGGAAGTTCTGCCGGGCATGCTCCCTGCCTGCCGGCCAAACTGGTCGGCCGTTTCAGGGTGCTCAATCAGGTAGGCCATCTTTTGAGCACACTCGGAGGGACTGCTGACCAGGTATCCCGGTCCACCGACAGGACCTGCAAGGTATTCCCCCCTGCATGCCCCCAAGGACCGGGACGCCATTCCACAAGCGCCTCGAGGTGAACGCCAGGCCAAAACCATTCTCTCCGGACTTCTGTATCACTACATTGGCCCCGGACTGGAAGGCGTTTATCTCCACATCACCTATGCCGTGGACTATGTTCGGCAGGATGTGGACATCCGGGTCACCGCCGGCGCGCTCCGCAGTCTGGTTATAGTATTCCCAGCCCTCAGGGTCGTCATTGGCAATAGCACAAGAAAGGCCAATTGCAGCTGGGGTATCTCTTTCTTGACCTGCAAATATGCCTCAAGGACTCCTATAGGGTCCTTCCACACATCCATCCTGGACGCCTGGATAACCAGCGGGCGCTCAGGGTCTATGTCGAAGCGACGCAGCACTTCATCCACGGTCTCCCGGGAAATGGGCGTGTTCTTGGGCTCAGAGGATCGATAGCGGGAGGAGCCACCCATATCTCCGAGTTCCTTATGTCCTTGTTGACAAACTGCTCAAGAGTGAAGATAGCGGCGTCGTAGTGCTCCAGGTACGGCGTTATGTACTCCCAAGCCTCGGGCTGGGCATCCGTGGAATCGATGTGGCAGCGCCATATCCAGCGCGTGCCCCCGTTGCTACGCCCGTTCTCTCGGAGCAAGCGAAGGATACCGGCAGGCTGCGGATCGTGCACAACCACAAAGTCGTAATCGCCCTCGAACCGCTCGGCGTTCATTACGTTATAGTCACGCCACGTCTTCCACATCTCCGGGGTCCAGTTCACACGTCTGCGCCCTGAAGGCTGTTGTGGAGCTGCTTGGTGACGTTGTAGAACACGCCGTCGCCGTGCATGACCTGCCAGTCCGCCTGGAGGCCCGCGTCGTTCATGAGTGGGACCAGGGAGTACAGGAGCTCGGCTACACCGCCGCCAAAAGCGGTAGCGTTGATGTGAAGGATCTTTAGCGCCCTTGAGAGATTCAGACAGTCTGCTTATCTCATCGGCGTTCTCGTCTCCAATGATATAGGCCGATAGTCTTCCAGCAGCTTCGGGAAGGTCTCAACCTGGGTCAGCATCCTGTCGCCTCTCTACTATCGGACGGCGAGAAGCGCGTCGGGATACCTGAGAGGGCCAAAAGAGAAACGTGCTTTTTACGATTTGTCTGTCGCGTCGTGCGTCACCTCCGAAGTCGCGCATAAATAGACCCAGCTCCGCGGAAGTCTGGGCCTATCTTTTGTACAGGGATTCTCCCTCCAGCCGGTCCGTTGTAGCGTTGGAGAGTGTCACTTCGATTGAAATGCTAAATCTATCACATACTCTTGTCAATAGTACCTCTGATAGCGTGGCATACTTCAGTGTGACGTCGGCTACGTAGGCCAGAGGCTGCCGCCTGCGCCTCATGGATGCTCGTTTCCCTATCGGCGCCAGGGTGTTATCATTGTGGTACAGTCCCGGTGAGAACTTCGGCCTTCGGGATATACCGGGGAATCCCCATGAGCCTCAATAACTCTCAGGTAACGCCTCAAGATGATCCCTCTGACAGACCCGGACGTACAACGCCGTATCAGCCCCTATGTGACCCTGGCGCTCATCGCGCTCAACGCTGCTGTATTCCTCTACGAGCTGCTCTTCCTGGGCGGGCTTTCAGACCACCCAGTTCTTCTACAACTGGGGGCTGATTCCGGCAAAGCTCTCCGAAGGGCTGAGCGAGTTCGGGCAGGTATGCCAGGGACGAATCGTCTCCACTCCGCTGGGCGCAGCGTGCCAGGGGACCATCCTGGACCTGGAGGCTCACAACGAGGTGTGGGTCACGGTGGTCAGCTCCATGTTCATTCACAGCGGCTTCATGCATTTCGCCGGAAACATGGTCTACCTATGGGTCTTCGGGGCCAACCTTGAGGACGGCCTGGGCCACGTAAAGTACCTGGTCTTCTACCTGGCGTGCGGTGCAGCGGCCGCATTGACCCAAGTTTACATCGACCCGGACAGCCGGGCACCTTTGATAGGAGCTAGCGGAGCCGTCGCCGGGATACTTGGCGCGTACATCATCATGTACCCCTACAACCGGATTACCACGATCGTGTTCTTCGGTTTCATGCTCGTGATACGGGTGCCGGCGCTGTTCCTGCTTGGGTTCTGGTTCTTCATCCAGAACGTACTTCCGGGACTCGGTTCACTGGTAACGACCGCCTCCAACGCTGGCGGCGTGGCCTTCTGGGCCCACATAGGCGGATTCATAGCCGGGTTCCTGGTTATGACGCTCTATCTTGCGATCACCCGGAGGCGCGCTTTGCCGAACGTGCGGCGAATCCCCTGGCGATGGTCGCGATGGTGATCTCAGGCGGGCGCCGGCAGTAGATTGACCACCACCGTTCCGATGATACCCAGCAGCACTACGCCTATCTCCCATAGATCTACCGGAACGGATGTGGGAGTACTACTGCGGAGTTTCCCCAGTAGCGGTTGAGCGGGGCCTGGGCCCAGACAATGATGGTAATGGCTATGGTAAGGCTAATAGCATTGACGAACAGCAGCAGAATAGAGCCTGAGCCCGCCAAGGCCAATGGAGCAAACACCAAGACGGTGTAGAGCATCATCAGCACAAAAGCCAGGTCCGGGCTGAGAGACGTCTCAACTCCAGACTTCGCGGCAAGGTCGCGAATGACTTTGACGTGTTTGTGCATGCGGAAGAAACCGTACACAGGCACAAGGAGGGACAGTGCGTGCCAAACCGGGTAGTGGACGTCCTGCGTCTCCGGCTGGAGCTGCTTCCAGGTAAGATATGCCCAGTAGTAGAAGTATAGCCCCAGCGATATTATGGACAGGACAATTAGACGGGTGGAACCGATGAGGAGAGCATTGGCAGGCGCAGTCCCAGTCACGTAGGGGTAGCCTCCGCCCTGCTGCTGCTGAGGACCGTCTTCCGCGAGTTGATTCCCACACTGTGGGCAGAACCCGGCGCTCTCCGGATTCCGGTTGCCGCACATCGGGCAGGCCTTGGTAGCTACGGGAGAATCGGTGTCCTCTCCTGTCGTTACCTTCTCCGAAGGCCCGCCACCCGCACTGATGGCAGAAATTGGCGTTGTCCTGGTTCGGGGCGTTGCACCTGGCGCAGATCTTCTCAGGCATTGGCAGTTCTCCGGGTATGTCTCTTCATCACTTCAACCTCGCTAGTCAAACCCCAGCTTCCTCTCCTTCAGGCTCACAAACCCCCTCTGCGCCAGCACCACGTGGTCCAGGACCTCAATGTCCAGCAGCTTGCCCGCATCTATGATCCGCCTGGTAATCTGTACGTCCTCATCGCTGGGTGCGGGGTCGCCCGAGGGGTGGTTATGCGCCAGAATGACAGCTGGGGCGTTGGAGCGGACCGCCTCTCTGAATATCTCGCCGGCGCGTATCACGGCGGAGTTCACGTTGCCCTTGTACACCTCGTGGATGGACTGAATACGATTCCTGGTGTTGAGCAGCACAACCCGCAGGTGCTCCTGCTCCAGGAACGCCATCTCCCCCTGAAGGAGGTTGGCTACGTCCTGGGGAGAGTGGACCGTTGGCCGTTCGTTCTCGTGAAGGGAAAGGGCGCGCTTGCCCAACTCAAAGGCCGCCTTGACCTGAGTCGTCTTGGCGTCGCCGAATCCGTGGACACTGCACAACTCGTCGTAGCTGGCGCGCGCCAGCCCGGACAGTCCGCCGAACTGGGACATCAGCCTCGTGCTGAGGCTCAGGACGCTCTCGGACTGGGTGCCCGTGCGAAGAATGATTGCCAACAGCTCCGCGGTGCTCAACGACGAAGGGCCATAGTTTCTCAGTCGCTCGCGAGGCCTCTCCTCCTGGGGGAGGTCTCGTATCATAATCCGGTATTCCGGCGACTCCTTGCCATCGGTCATTTACACAAACCACGGCCTGCGTGTTGGGGACACATCAAACTAGTAAAAGCCCTAGGTCTCAGCCTTCTGTTCCTCAAGGCACTGGAGCAGACGAAGCTCTCCCCCTGCTCCAGGGCCACTCCGCGGGCCACGTTGCGTGTGCGTCCGCACACGGTGCAGGTGGCCCGTTCGAGGGGTACGTTGCCCTCGCTGGGCTCCTGTTCACGCCCGCGAAAGCCCTGGTAGTCGGGGTCCAGGCGTTTCATCGCCTGGAATCTTTCCTTGTCTTTTCTACGGCTCATAGCTTTACCATGCGGCGCAGGAATGCCTCACCGCCCGTTAAGGACACCGCGGCGGAGAGGTCCGGACGCCCAGAGCTATTGTACGGCTACGACTGCTCCGGCGCCTGGCACCCAGCTTCTCTGTCTCTGACCCTGCTCCGCGTCTCCTTGTAGATCCCGTCCCGTATACGCTTGCGGAGCGTCCCATCCAACCAGTCCTTGGCTCTCCTTCCTTGTAGCCAGGGTAGTCACCTCGCGAACGCCCTTGATGACGTTGATCTTATTGGGGCCGATCTCCTTGATGACAACGTCAAACTCCGTCTTCTCTTCCTCATCTGCGGGCGCCGCCTCTGCAGCTCCGGCTGCCGGTCCAACCGCCATTGCCATCGGCGCCGCGGCGCTGACCCCGAACTCCTCCTCAAGGAGCTTAACCAGATCCGCCAACTCCAGCACGGACATACCCTTTACGGCCTCAAGTACCTCTTCCTTTGTCATTTTCCCTCTCCTTCTTGATTTGACAAACTAGCGACTGTGTCCGCCTCAGCTAAGGGGCTGCTTCGGCCTCAGCCTCCTCTTCCTCAGTGGGCGGCGACTCTTCTTCATCTGCGACAACTTCGGCCTCCGCCGTCGGAGCCGATTCCTCATCGACCTCGGCCTGGACCTCTGCGGGCGCGCTATCCTCTGCTACCTCTACCGGATCGTCCGGCGGAGGGGTCTCGGCTTGCTCAGCCGGCTCGTCCATAACCGCAGTCCCGCCCTGGGATCCACTGCCGCTTTCAGCCGCGCGTTGCAGGACGGTAACCAAGCCCCTGAGAGGGGCGCTGAGCACATATACCAGACCAGTCACCGGCGCTTGCATCTGCCCCAGAAGTCTGGCCAGCAGTTCCTCTCTGGGGGGCAGCGTCGCCAGGTTCCTGACCTGATCGCCGCTTATAACACCCCTACCCATAACCGCCCCGTTAATCACCAGCGGCGACCTTGTGGAGGTGATGTAGGTATTGAGGCCCTTGGCTACGGCGGCCTCATCTCCATACCCGAAAGCCAAGCCGGTTGGGCCCTGCATCACACCGCCAATACCCTCCTTGCCCAGCTGCTGGGCCGCCAGTAGAGTCAGGGTATTCTTGACAACCCTGTACTCTATACCCTGCTCTCGCAACCGCCTCCTTAGATCCGTCATATCAGAGCCGCTCAAACCCTGGTACCCCGTGGCAATGGCTATGGTGCACCGGCTCAGCTTGTCCTTTATCTCTTCAACTTGAGCTTCTTTTCTAGGAGTAGGCACTATGCTCCCTCAAAATAGTTTTGGCTCCCCGAGCCAGAAAGCCGGGCAGCCAAACACACTTTCAGCGCGTTCTGGTCCCTTGGTTTTCTGCCTCGGCGGGAATGTTCATCAATTAAGGCCTATGGCCACCCGCTTTCTACGGCAATGCAGTCTGAATTTATTGCGTCCTCTTAATACTACGTCCTCACCGACATCATTCTAGGAACGTCCAGCTTGATGCTGGGGCCCATAGTAGTGGTTAGGTAGGCAGTGCGTATGAACTGCCCCTTAACGGCCGACGGCCTTGCCTTCACCACCGTGTCCACCAAGGCATTGAGGTTCTCCAACAGCTTTTCGTTATCGAAAGCTCACCTTGCCCACAGGCACGTGAATTATTGCAGTGCGGTCCAGGCGAAACTCCACACGGCCCATCTTGGCCTCTTCGATAGCTCTGGCGAAATCCTGGGGCTGAACCACTGTCCCGGCCCTGGGATTCGGCATCAGACCCCGACGACCAAGGACGCGTCCCAGACGGCTTATACGCCCCATCACGTCCGGGGTAGCCATAGCCACGTCGAACTCCAGCCAGCCCTCCTCAATTCTCTGCACGAGGTCGTCGTCGCCAACGTAGTCTGCGCCGGCCCGCCTGGCCGCAGCTGCGGCCTCGCCGGCGGCGAAGACCAGCACCCTGATCTCCCGGCCAAGTCCGTGAGGCAACAGGGCAACGCCCCTCACCAGTTGGTCCGCGTGACGCGGGTCCGAGTTGGTGCGCAGATGTAACTCAACCGTCTCATCAAACTTTGCCTTAGCCGTCTGCTTGGCTATATCCACGGCCTCTCCAGGTGAGTACAGTCTGTCCTTCTCAACCGCCTTTGCGGCTTCCGTATATTGCTTTCCGCGCTTTACCATGTGTTATGCATCCTTACTCTGCTATCTGGACACCCATGCTCCGCGCCGTCCCCTCTATCACCTTTATCGCCGCCTCTACATCCGGTGCATTGAGGTCCGCCAGCTTTATCTGTGCAATCTCGCGCACCGCGTCCCTTGAGATGGCGCCGATGGGCTGGCGGCTGGCGGCTGCGCTTCCCTTCTCCACACCCGCGGCCCTCCGTATGAGGTCGGACGCCGGTGGAGTTTTGGTTACAAAGGTGAAAGACCTGTCCTCGAATATGGTAATGTGCACAGGAACAATGGTGCCCTCTCGAGTGGAGGTCTGCTCATTGTATTCCTTCACAAAGGCCATGATATTTACGCCGTGCTGGCCCAAAGCCGGACCCACCGGGGGCGCGGGCGTTGCCTTGCCTGCGGCGATCTGAAGTTTGACGATAGCGCGGACTTTCTTTGCCAAAGTTCCTCCTAGAGCTTCTCCACCTGAAGGAAGTCCAACTCCACGGGTGTTTCCCTACCGAAGAAGGAGACCAGTATCCTCACCTTGCCCCTGTCTGCCATCACCTGGTCCACAACACCGATAAAGTCTGTAAATGGGCCGTCGGTAATTCGTGCGCTCTGGCCCAGCGTAAAGCCCACCTTCACCCTTGGAGCCTCGGATTCCATCTGGCTTAGTATCTTCTCGACCTCGTTCTCCTCCAAGGGCACCGGCTTGGGCCTTCGCTCCTGCTCGTCCTCAGCCGATACAAAGCCTGTAACTCCGGGGGTGTTCCTCACCACGTGCCAACTGTTGTCGTCCATGGTCATCTGGACCAGGATGTAGCCGGGGAACACCTTGCGGCGGACGGACCTCCTCCTCCCCTCCCGTATCTCAATCTCCTCCTCCGTGGGAACAACCACCTGGAAGATCCTGTCCCTCACATCCATTGTGGTAACGCGCAGTTCCAGGTTCTTCTTCACCCTCTCCTCCTGACCGGAGTAGGTGTGGATGATGTACCAACGCGCTTCCTGTTCGCTAGTAGTGCTCATAGATATCAACCAATTGAGTTTTTGTCCTCATGTCAAGAATGCAAAGAGCCGTCCAAAGCCCAGGTCAACAGCGCCAAGCAGAACTCCCACAAAGGCGGATATTATTATCACCAATATGGTGAGACGAGTGGTCTGCTCCCTTGTGGGCCACACAACTTTCCTGAGCTCGGAGACGGTCTCGCGGAAAATCTGGAAACCGGGGCCTCGCCGCGCCCGATCAGTGCCCTGGGGCCGCAGGGCCCTTCTCAATGGCGATGAACTAGCCACGTTTCTCTACCTTACCTCTCGATGCGCCTTGTGCTGTCGACAGCGCGGGCAGTACTTGGACAGCTCCATGCGCTGCGGGTCACTGCGCTGGTTCTTGACCGTTGTGTAGTTGCGCTCGCGGCAATCGCCGCAAGCCAGGGTTATAATCGGGCGTACCTCTCCCCTCTTCCTTGCCATTTTATACCTCCACCTTTGTGATAACACCCGCTCCCACAGTCCGGCCGCCCTCTCTGATGGCGAAGCGCAGCCCCTCTTCGAGAGCTACCGGGTTGATCAGCTTTATGCCCATCTTGACGTTGTCCCGGGCATTATCATCTCCACTCCCTCAGGAAGAGAGATCTCGCCCGTTATGTCCGTGGTGCGAATGTAGAACTGGGGCTTGTAGCCGTTGAAGAAGGGCGTATGCCGGCCTCCCTCCTCCTTGCTCAGAACGTACACCTCCGCCTCAGCGGCGTTATGCGGCCTGATAGAGCCGACCTTTGCCAACACCTGGCCTCTCTCGATATCGTCACGCTCTACGCCTCGCAGCAGGCAACCTACGGCGTCCCCCGGCTCGCCCTCGTCCAGCGTCTTATGGAACATCTCTACACCGGTTACCACCGTCTTCTTGGTGTCAACGATGCCGACAATCTCCACTTCATCGCCGGTCTTTACCATCCCTCTCTCCACTCGACCGGTCACGACAGTTCCCCTGCCCTTGATTCCGAACACGTCCTCCACAGGCAGAAGGAAGGGCATGTCACGCGGGCGCTCCGGCATGGGAATGTAGTCGTCCACTGCCTGCATCAACTCCAGTATCTTCTCAGTCCACTCAGAGTCGGGGGCGCCCTCGTCCTCCAGGGCCTTGAGTGCGCTCACCCGCACTATGGGGATGTCTTCCCCGGGGAAATCGTAGGCGCTGAGCAGCTCCCTCAGTTCCAACTCCACCAGGTCCAGCAGCTCAGGGTCGTCCATAGCGTCCACTTTGTTGAGCGCCACCACGATGCTGGGCACCTGCACCTGGCGAGCCAGCAGAATGTGCTCGCGGGTCTGGGGCATTGGTCCGTCGGGGGCGCTCACCACCAGGATGGCTCCGTCCATCTGGGCGGCGCCGGTGATCATGTTCTTGATGTAGTCGGCGTGGCCGGGGCAGTCCACATGGGCATAGTGACGGTTATCCGTCTCGTACTCCACGTGCTGGATAGCGATAGTCAGACCCCTGGCCTTCTCCTCCGGAGCGTTGTCGATGGTGTCGAAAGCCCGGTACTGGCTGCCGGTGTGCTTGCTCAACACCATAGTGATAGCCGAAGTAAGAGTGGTCTTGCCGTGGTCGACGTGACCAATGGTGCCTACGTTCAGGTGGGGCTTGTTCCTCTCAAATCTCCTCTTAGCCAAATCTTTACCTCCTAAAGTTTTGCAAGGTTTACTTTACATGGAGCCCACAATCGGATTTGAACCGATGACCTCGTTCTTACCAAGAACGTGCTCTACCGACTGAGCTATGTGGGCAGAATCCTGTTTTCTGTTCCATTTCTCTCTGGTGGAGGGGGTAGGATTCGAACCTACGAAGCCCTTCCGGGCGCCAGATTTACAGTCTGGTGGTATTAACCGCTCACCCACCCCTCCGGATGTGCCTTAGTTTATCACCTCTCGAAAGAACCCGCCAAGTCTTTTCCTTTGTATTTAGCCTCTTCTCGGGGCCTTTTCAGCCCGAGAGGGGATTCGAACCCACTAACCTACCGATTACAAATCGGTTGCGCTGCCCTTGCGCCACTCGGGCGTCCTCTCCCGACAATGACATAATACAACTTCCCCTACAGGGGAAGCTACACTATATGATAACACAATCCCGCAAGACCTTGAATACAATTTGGTATGGAAATCACATATTGAGCGAATTTAAGAGGATGGACTTCAAAAGTCAATCCGGTCGAAGGCCAAAATGCATTTTGTAGATCATAGCTGAGCTTGGCGAACGATACGAGTTGGGCCTCTTCCAACCCGCTCACTTCGCCAAACATCTTCCGGGTGGATTGACAAGGTGGGGAGTTAGTGTGGTATATTTGTGATTCGGAAACGCACCTTAACAGTTGA